GATCCCCGGGTTGCTGCAGACCTCTCCTGTCTCCCCGCTGCTCCCTCAGCAGTGTACTTAGTCAGTCGGCCTGTGCTGCTCCCCACTCTGTCTCTGGTGAAGCCTCTCACCACCCTGCACCCCTGGCCTGTGCCCCAATTCTGTATGCACAAATAAATCTTTTAGAGAAAAGAAAACACTTTTTTTATCATCCCCCTTTTTCTTAAAGACTTGTTTATTTATACATTTAAGAACTGGGGTGCAGGCCCGAGGTACAGAGGACTCCCCAGAGGCCGAGTGGAGAGCAGAGCAGGTGGGTCCACTGCGGAGGGAGCAGCTGGGGCCAGGAGAGTCTGCTGCGGCCTGGGGGTCCCTCCCTGGCCGGGGTTCAACTGGGGCTGAAGCGGCTGCCGAGAGCCTGACAGTGCCGGGACACCCCTGCGCTCCAGCCCGATCACCGCTATTTTTTTTTTTTAAAGCAAAGCTTCCGAAGGCTCTAAGGAGTCTGAAGAGCAGAACAAGCCAGTGGCCCGGCCCCAGGCCCACCCAGACGTGCCCCCCAGCCGCCCAGAGAGGCTTTCTCTTTTGGGCAAACCTGCTCCTGAGGCAGGGAGGTGGTAAAACCTGTTTGGAAGTGAGGTTACCTCCCTCCCACACCTCCCTCTGTGGGGCAAGAGCCACAGAAAGGCTAAAGTGTGGGAGCAGGGACCAGCTCCCGGCCTCAGCTCGGAGGACCTGAAGATGGGGACCGTGCCCGAGGCAGGAGGGACACTCCACCTGGGGTAAGGAGCCCTGGCCCGGACCAGAGCGAGGCGCCAGGAGCCGGGGGGGGGGGGCTTTCCCGCGGGGCCGGACCTGGTCTGATCTCAGGTTCCCAGGAGCCGGCAGAGCCGGCTGAGAGCCCTGGCGGCGGCACAGGAGGGTCCAGGGCGAATCCTCCTCCTCCTCGAAGGAGACTGGGGGCCTGGGGTGTCGCCCCACTGCTGTTCTGTATTGGCCCCGCCCTCGCCGGCCGCTGGGGCGCCCATTCTCCCGCGGAGCGCTCCCCAGCTCGCCCACCCCACCCGGGGCCTGGCCCCCCTGACGCCCTGTGTGGTGGGACACGGCCGGCCGGCGGCCTGGGAGCCCTCGGAGCCGGGAGGGCGTGGTGGGCGCCCTGGTGCCTCCCGACTGCGTAGGCTGCGCCATGGAGGACAGAGCTTCACACCCGGCCCTGGCGCTGCTTACACGGGGTGGGGGGGGGGACGGAGAGACAGGTGTGTGCTCTGTTCCCCACTGTTCCCCATCCCACTCATCCCAGTGTCTCCCACCCACCACCGGGGCCCTCTAGACACACCCAGCTCGGCTCCCGAGAACTGTCCAGTCGGGGGCCCCCTCAGGGTCGTATCCTCTGGTCGGGGCCCCCTCAGGGTCGAACCCTCTGGTCAGGATCCCCTCAGGGTCGTACCCTCTGGTCAGGGGCCCCTCAGGGTCGAACCCTCAGGGTCGTACCCTCTGGTCAGGGGCCCCTCAGGGTCAAACCCTCTGGTCGGGGCCCCCCTCAGGGTCGAACCCTCTGGTCAGGGGGGCCCCCTCGGTCGTACCCTCTAGTGGGGGCCCCTCAGGGTCAAACCCTCTGGTCGGGGGGGCCCCTCAGGGTCAAACCCTCTGGTCGGGGCCCCCCTCAGGGTCGAACCCTCTGGTCAGGGGGGCCCCCTCGGTCGTACCCTCTAGTGGGGGCCCCTCAGGGTCGAACCCTCTGGTCGGGGGCCCCTCAGGGTCGAACCCTCTGGTCGGGGCCCCCCTCAGGGTCAAACCCTCTGGTCAGGGGGGCCCCCTCAGGGTCGTACCCTCTAGTGGGGGCCCCCTCAGGGTCGTACCCTCTGGTGGGGGCCCCTCAGGGTCAGCGAGAAGGCAGAGGCAGCCCGGCCCGGCGGAGGCCTGCGGCTGGGGGAGCTGCAGCTGGCCGAGGAGTGGCAGGACGAAGAATTCCCCAGGTGAGGCGGCAGCAGGCTGGGGCGGCAGGGGCGGGGCGGCGAAGGAGGGCTGAGGGAAAGTGGGGCAAAGGCGCAGGGGCGGCTGCCACGTGCACCCCGAGGGGCTGCTGAGGCCCAGCTCGAGGCGTCAGCCGAGGTCTGCTCCCGCCTGCTCCCCTCAGGCTGCTCCCCGAAGAGGCTGGTCCGACCGAGGACCCCGAAAGCTACTCACAGGAAGGTAAGTGCAACATCAGCCTCAAATTCCGATCCTGTGGGGGGAGGGCCGGGCCACCCCCTCCCTGGGTCCCCCAGCCGGGCCTCCCCCGCGACCCGCGCCTCACCCCTCCCCGCGACACCCCCTCCGCCCAGGCACCCCCAGCACGCTGGCCCTGGGCGGCCTGCGCCCCACGCGCCCCATGCGGAAGCGCCTTTCTGCCCCCGAGCTGCTGCGGAAGCTGGGGGCCCCCGGGGCGCGCGGAGCCTCCCCCTCGGAGCCCCCCTCCCCTGACGGCAGCTCCGACCTGGAGGTGGACGAGCTGCAGACACCTTCCGACTCTGAGCAGCTGGACAGTGGACACGAATTTGAGTGGGAAGGTGGGCAAGGGGCCGGAGGCCAGGGCTGAGGGCCTCAGGGCGGCTGGGCGGCCCACGAGGGGTAGTGGGCAAAGCTGGTGTCTGGAGAAGAGGGGTTTGCAGCCAGATGTGGGGGCAGCCGGAGAGGAGGGGGCTCAAAAGGCCCCATTTTGTTTGTTTAAAGATTTACTTATTGGGGCCCTCCCTGGTGCAACACAGAAGCTGTCTGCAGCCGCTTCAGTGCGAGTTCGACCCCCGCCAGGGAGGGACCCCAGGGCCCAGCAGACCCCTCCTGTCTCCCCGCTGCCCCCTCAGCAGTGGACTTCGTCCATCTGCCTGTCCTGCTCCCCGCTCTGCCTCTGGGGAGTCCTCTCACCGCCCTGCGCCTCTGGCCTTGAAGGAAAGTGGGGGGAGTGATCAGGTTTTTCTTTTTTAATTAAGTGATTTATGCACATAAGAACAGGGGTGCAGGCCAGAAGTGTGGGCATGAGAGGACTCCCCAGAGACAGAGCGGGGAGCACAACAGGCAGGTCCACTGACACCCACTGCTGAGGGGCAGCGGGGAGACAGGAGAGGTCAGCTGCGCCCCGGGGTCACCCCTGGCCAGCTGGGGGTGGACTCAGGAAGTGGCAGTGATAGCGCTGGTGGTGCTGAGATGGCCCCACGTGACCGTGACTGGGAGGCCCAGGGCTGTCTCACTCGTCCTCACAGCTCAGACGGGGCGCCGGGCTGGAACAGCTCAGTGACAGGAGTCACGGCCGTGGGGGGGAACGTTCCCTTGGCCAGCAAGGGTCCCCTCCAGAGGTCTCCCTGATGGCACAGGGGTCAGTCTCAAGCCATCACCTCTACGACCTCACCTCAGTCCGACCCCCCGCCAGGGAGGGACCCCCGCCAGGGAGGGGCGCAGCAGACCCCTCTTGCCTCCCCCCTGCTCCCCTCAGCAGTGGATTTCAGGGGATCCGCCCGTTCTGCTCCCCACTCTGTCTCCGGGGAGTCCTCTCACCCCTCTGCACCTCGCCCAGTCTTGTATGTAAAATAAATCTTTAAAAAGGAAACAGTTCCCACCCGCAGGGAGCGCTGTATTTAGCATAATATCCCGCTGGCCCCCTGGACGCTCAGGGAAGCCGGTCAGAGGCCAGAGGGGCAGGTGGCGGGACTGGTCAGCACAACCGCTGGCCTCCTCCAGCCCTCTGGAGTCACAGGGCCGGTTTCCGGCAACCAGACACCTATCTTGGGGGGCTTTAGTTACCACCTCATTAACAAAATCCCCAAGAAAGAGGGGCAGAGAGGAAGGCTGGACTGGCGAGCTCATCCAGGGAGAAGCGTGGACACTTCTCTCTGAGCCTGACTGACACTGGCAAGGGCCACACACCTTACCTGGTACGAGGCCGCCTCAAGGTCACTGTCGAGTGAAAAGGGGAGGATGAGAGTCTCGGGGTGACGCCAGCCAGTCGTGGGGGAAGTTAAGGACTGAGTGGGTGGAGCCATACGCCCAGGGCCCCACGGAAGGTGCCAGATACCGAGGATGTGACTGAGGTTAGCGAGGGGGAGCTGGGGGCCGCGAATGCAGTGGGGAGGGGCCCAGTGGTCAGTAGTGGCAGGTTTTTTTAAAGTAATTTTTGCACAGAACTGGGGTGCGGGCCAGAGGTGCACAGGGTGAGAGGATTCACCAGACAGCGGGGAGCAGAACAGGCGGATCCACTGAAAGAGGGGAGCAGCAGGGAGACAGGAGCGGTCTGCCGTGCCCTGGGTCCCTCCCTGGCCGGGATGGACTGGGGCCCTAGCGGTCACCCCTGAGACTCGCGCCCCGGCCCCCAGGGAGACCCTATGGTGGAAGAGTGCTGCCGCTCGGGTGTGGCGTGACCCCGCCGGGAGGGCGTGAGCCTTCGCCTCTGAGTCACACGCGCTTGCTCAGCGTCCGAAGAGGGAAACACCTGCGCCCTCCCTGGTGGCGCAAGGGTTGAAGCGCAGCGCCGAGACGGGTTCAGTCCCCGGCCAGGGAGGGACCCCAGGGTGCGGCAGACCCCTTCTCTGCCCGCTCTGCTCCCTCAGCAGTGAACTTCGTCCATCTGCCTGCCCTGCTCCCCACTGTCTCTGGGAGC